GTGTTGTGTTGTGTTGTGTCGTGTTGTGTTGTGTTGTGTTGTGTTGTGTTGTGTTGTGTTGTGTTGTGTTGTGTTGTGTTGTGTTGTGTTGTGTTGTGTTGTGTTGTGTTGTGTTGTGTTGTGTTGTGTTGTGTTATGTTCCCATGAGTAAACATTGAATAAGTACTTAAGGCTAGGCAAGAAACCAATAAAATAGTGTTGATGATCAAGAAAGGAGTTGTGAAGTGGTTTTCTTTACTACGACCCGTAACATTGTTTAAAAAGCAATTTTTAAACGTAAAAAAGGCCACGTGCATTCGAGAAACTTTGCACGAATTTCTAACATACGAAAATTCGCCATCTTTGATTCTGAAGCAATCAGAAAGCAAACACAACATTTTTAAAACAAAGAAAACGATCGCAAATGTTGGTAGATGGGCTTTTAATTACAATTATATATTGTTTTTACGACCGTTCTTTGTATATTTTGTTGTTTACTTGCATCTTTCTTTAAAGAGTTTATATGTGTTGTTTCATTTCAGTGGATTTTTTTTGGCTCTTACCTTCTTCGCAGCATCTTCCAGCAAAACCATCTCTGCATAGACAGTAACCGTGAGCATTAGTGCCGCCATTATGACAATTATTTCTGTTGCAAGCTATTGTTTCCCTCATTTGGCTGTTGCTACAGCTTACTCCACCACATCGGGGATATGTTTTTATTGTCCTGCTTCTATATTGCGTCCCTGACAGACCGCAGTCGTAAGTACAAGGAGTCCACCATGACCAGCTATTGTAAGCGCAGTTTACTTTTGTACACCACAGTGACAGAGATTCTTGAACGATCAGAGCTGTCGCCAGTAAGATCAGGAGTATCTTAATCAATTCCATGAAACGACCTTTTTGTTTTCAGCTGTCGTCCTTTAATTAATAGCATTATTTCAATATACATCGTATAAAGTATTTCGTTATATGATAAATTTACGGCAGATATGGATCGGCTAACCACTTAAAGTTCCGTAGGTCATTGTACAAATATCTTTTAACTAATATTGAACATAGCTAATAGGGGGGACAGTCCCCTCTATTAACTATGTATTGACAATATTTATACTCAACATTTTGTTGCTATAATTCTCTGGCATACCTTTTCAGTTAACGTCCTCAATGTTGTTTTTTTTTCGAATAAATTCCAAGTTAATTAGTTCACAAAACTTTCTGAGTAAAACGGAAACTCAGGAATGCCSAATTATAATTTCGTCTAATTTTATCTGTTGATCACGTGAAACATGGTAGATTTTACAAAATGTTCCCATGAAAGCTAACAAAAGATTGTTGTTTTTATAAATAGACACCTCATTTATCTTCTTATAATAGGTCCTTACACAACTTCAATCATAAGAGAATTTGAGAGAAAAAAAATGGCCRCAATGCTTTCTATTTCACAAATATCATTGACGCAATTATTGATATTTATTGTACTCTTGGCAATTCATCCAAAGCGAAGTACATTTATGTATTTTCTAGTGTTAATTCTAGTTATCAAAGAAAAGACAGCAGTAGATGTCAGTTAATCCGTTTGTCATCCTCATTATTTTAATAACAGATAGGGAAATACATATAAACGTGTGTCCGAAAAAATGATGTCGATTTTAGAATATGATTTACCAAGCGTGACTTGTTTTTCAGTTATGCAAATACCTTGCTGTTTTTTGAATTTTTTCAAAAATCACTTTCAAACAGCATAAATCTTACGCTTACGATCTTCATGTTTTYATGATAGGTGAAATCTTACATTATCCATTAATGGCAACACAGSTATTTTCGGTCGTGAAATCGCCGTCTCGCTTCGACGACCATATTTGAAATAGCTATTTGAATAATTGTTTAAGTGACTATGTATGTCAGTCTCTCTCTCCCAGTTTCCAATCCTTTTTTAATATTATATATTAATGTTATAGATCTAGATGATTGAATAAATTTATATTATTTCAAACAGTGAATTAGTGTTGCCGATACCGGGCATATCGATCCCCAAACCTGGTGCGCTCGGAATATTTGGGATTGAAAGTATCCCATATCAAGTAATAGTACCTTCCTACTTTCCATTTTACTTTATTGCATCATTATTTACTTATCTATTTATTAATTCATATAAGACTGTTGATTCTAAGATGGTTTCTCCGCATTCTGATGTTTCCGTTACGTCATGATCTTCAAGCAATTTCCGTAGATGTCAAATCACAGGGGGCCCAGGCTCNATTCAAAACCATGAAAATACAGTTAAAAAGTCTGTTTTCAAAATGTAAAAGCTAAAAACAAAAGATAACAAAAGTCTAAGCTCCTGAACTACTCATCTAACCGAAGGATTCAAACCTTGCGGCTGTATCCAGGATTTGTAATTGGTTGGGGGAGGGGGAGTTTGTCTGTAGTGTCAAGGCGTCGGTCTGATATTGGAGTGATAGAGAGCATCAATCACTAACAGACGAATGAAGTGAACTTAACCCTTTCGGTTGTTAGCATAAACAYTTTGTATTTTTTAAGAGTAAAGATCRTTTGTCGGACAAAGATGATATATGTAATAAATGACACATTGTTACCTGATCGGCTCCCACAATAGCGCATATCAGGGTTACATCTTGGTGGYTTATCGAGATGATAAACATAGTAATCTCCACAGTTCTGCACCTGAATYATGTTGCTATAACGACAACAATCATTGTTCCAGTGATAACAGACCTTCCGATAGACAATTCCTTCCTCTTGGCTTGGATGGGATCCATGCATCCACCCCGGGGAATCAGCACCACATCGACGAGTAGGGACGCACGTTGTGGGCATCTTTGACCCTGATAGGCCTGTAAAGCGATACCAATATTTTGGCAAATGACTGTCACAWTGTTTGGCTGGATTTGGCCAAGAACCATAAGCACGATAGTAATGTAAACGGTGATAGCTGCTGCATCCTAAAACATGGATAGATTTAGCTCGTATTTTAGTCCTTYTAGAGTTTTATTTAATTGTTTGTTTCACTGCCTTTTTGCTTTTTTTGTAGTTTATTCCAAGTGTTATTTTGAGAATTGAACTATGCATTTTTTGAGTTCAGACAATATTTTTAAATGCTTTATTTGTACATTTTATAAGGATATAAACAGCTTACTGGAAAGACTGGTGAGCTCAAAAATGGCAAAAAGAATCAATCCTTTTTAGCGGGTTGAAACGAGCACTCTACCGGTAGTGAACCAACAAATTTCTTAGTACTACACTAGGACATAGACAGAGGGTTTGGTTTTGACGGGTCGACCAACCCGATGTAATCGGTTGGTGACTTAGTATTAGTTAGTATTAAACGAATTTTCTGCTCTGAACTCGTTCTACTGGTTGGTGCAAACCCGTTGTACAGGATTTCAATTTTTGCCATTTTTGTGGTGTGTGGTGTGTGGTGTGTGGTGTGTGGTGTGTGGTGTGCGGTGTGTGGTGTGTGGTGTTGGTGTGTGGTGTGTGGTGTGTAGATGAGTTATTCAGGTATTATGAGAGTATCATTGATATCTTACGAACCTCCTCCGTCGGTGCAGTAACGTTGGTAACTGGTAGGTGGTTTCTCAAGTTTATAAACATAAAAACTGCCACAGTTTCTTACTTGGATCATATTACTGTATTCGCAGCAGTTGTCATTCCAACCATAGCACACTTTGCGTGTAACATTTCCCTCTATTTCACTGGGATGACTCCCATTCATCCAGCCTGTAGATATGGTTGTACATCGATAGGAATAGACACACGATGAAGCTATCTTGACTCCTCCTAGGCCAGTAAAACGATACCACCCTWTTTTTAAATCGCTATCGCATGATAAATTGCTGTAT